CCACCCACGTCAACTACCTCCGTTGTAGGGGCGGGGGGATGATTGCGGTGGGTTGTGACCCCCCCCCCCGGCAAGGCCGCAAAGATGGAGAAACACTGCAAGAGAGGATTGGATAAACATCACTGAGTGATATGGACCAATGCTTTAACTCAATAAAAGACAGCTTTCTACTTTCCTAAGATTTGCACTGGCAACTGCAATGTTTTGAACATGTAAGGCTGAGTGCATTTTCCCACTAGCAATTTACAGCATCTTCTAGATGGGTGTTTCTTAAACCTTTTGCTCTCAGGACCCCTTCCCACTTCTAAAAATTATGGAGGACCCCTGGATCAATATATACCATATTAACAATTGACACATTCCCAGAATATTTATTGAATCATGTAAAAATAACCTTATTAAACCAATTAGGTATTAACATAAATAAAATATTTTTCATGAAAAAACCTGTTTTTTTAACAAATTAAAAATAATAATGAGAAGAGTGACATTGTTTTAAATGTTTGCAGATATCTTCAATATCTGGCAAATAATTTTGATTTTGTGGACCCCTGAGATGGTCTTGGAGGGCCCCTAAAAGTCCTCAGACCGCACTTTAAGAAACACTTTTCTAGAGTTATTCATTTATCACTGTCCCAAAATAACAGCAAGGATAGGCTTTCTATCATTTCAACAATGGCTGGTTGACACCATGATGACATTGCAAGTGACTAGTAGGGAAATAGTCTGGTACATGTTGCAAGAATGGTTTGAATAGTCAAAATCACACACACAGTCCAGTTTTTAATTATTACTACAGGAACCCCAAAAGCTTGCAATTATTACATATCAGTTGGTCTTAATAAAGTTTCAAGGACTTTAGACTTAAGCTATATAAAGAGGAAAAAACCCTACTGTCACAAGCAGCAGAATTTATTTGCAACTAAAATGGGGGGAAAAAAAAAGACTGGAAAATAGAAAATAGAAGGGAGGTTTATCTGATACTGTCTCAGAGTTCTATACACAAACCCTTTCATTTAACAAATCATCAAGGGTAGCCGTACATCTTATCCATGCCTATTCAGAAATAAGCCAAGTTGAGCTCAAAGAGGCTTACCAATAGATTAATGGGTACAGGACTGCAGCCCAATATTCACCTTCCCTGTTTTTGACAATATGGTGACATAGATTTAAAATGTAATGTAATGTACTGGCTGGCAGAAGTGAGATAACTAACTCCAACGTACACCCTTTCTTACTGTCTGCCCGCTTTCATAATCCCCTCTGTTTCGGTGTTATGGAATGTGTTTTGGTGTTATGGAATGTGGTAAGGCAATTATAATTCCTCCAACAGGAAAACAACTCACCAAACTCACTATTTAAACCACTCTACAGCACTCAGTTGTATATATCAAAAATGGCCCTTCATTGCAGAGCTGATGCTATCAATCTGCTGCTGTTATGGTTCAACAACTGCAGAGACAACTACACTACACACACAGATGAAGAAAAGGCAGGGCAGATGACTGCCACACAGATTTACTAAAATGCTGTTGCCCCAGCATAGGGACAGCATAGTTATTGGGGAAATGATCAAATATATGAGTTGACATCAATATTCTAATTGGATCCCACCTTCAACCTTACCCAGACTGAACTACATTTGTTTCATAGTTCCTCTATTTTGGGTCCTGTTCAGGTTTTACCCATTACAGAAAAGCTATTCTCAGTTATTACCATCTCCTTAATATGGACACAGACTTCTTAACATACCCCTTGAGGAAGAACCATGAAGTACGAAACACATGGAGATCTCTGGAAAGCAATTACTGTACTAATACATTTGTTTTACCTCCCTCCGCTCCCTATCTTTAAAGCCTCCTCTGATACCCCTATAGGCAGTCCTCGCTTTACTACCATTCACTTAGTGACCGTTCAAAGTTACAATGGTGCTGAAAAAAGTGACTTACGACTGGTCCCTGCACTTACAACCATCACAGTGTCCCTGTGGTCATGTGATCAAAATTTGGGTGCTTGGCAACCGGCATGTATTTATGATGGTTGCAGCATCCTGAGGTCACATGATCACTATTTGCAACCTTCCCAGCTAGCTTCTGACAAGCAAAATCAGTGGGGAACCACATAATTCACTTAACAACCACGGTGATTCGCTTAACAACAGCTGCAAAAAATGTCATAAAATCAGGTGGAGTCACATGATGCCTCGCTTAATGACCGCACCATCTAACGATGAATTTTCAGGTCCCTATTGTGGTCTCAAGTTGAGGACTACCTGTATCTATGTCCTAAAAGACTGCTTTTGACTACAATGGTAGAAGAGTGTTTATGACTTCACAAAGAGTTTCTGTCATTCTAGGATCCACTCAACCAGTCTTCTCCAGCCTCTCCCCAAGTTATGGAGACTGAATAACTGAATCCATTATACATCTCTTACAAGATCTATATAATATGCTCAAGAGCCAAAGAATCAACAAAGCTTTACATACTCAAAAAGCTCCCCCACCCTTCACGTATATTAGCAGCCCCACACCAAATCCTAGCAAGTCAAACCTAAAAAGCCACAAGAAAAAGAAGCCATCAGATGCCACCTCCTGAAATTCTGAAATCCAGAGAAGTTAGATTTTTCTCACATTACTGCTATATAAAAACTGTATTTAGCTAAAGCACCGTTTAAAAAGAAACGTTGCAGTGTAGATTTAACAAGTCAATTAATTATTGCTTTCTCAGTTTATTTCTCCTCAAAAGGTCTCAAAACAGGGACTTAACGGGAAGAAATGGCAAACTGAAGATGGATCCACTAAAAGTGAAGCCAACAACTGGCAGAATGAAGAGCTGGCAAGTAGATCGGCTTTTCTTAATTCCTCTCCAGACAAGGAAAGGACTTGAGATTACCCACAAGTGTTCCATACAGTTGCTCCTCGCAAGGAGACCACCAGACAGAGGTCTCCAGTGGGTTTAGAGCTTTAGGAGACAAGGAAATAGACATCTTTGCTCAAACTGCAGTCGGCACCTTTCAAAAGGACACTGGATTCACATACTTCCTTTTCTAATCACTTTTGGAAATTGCCTGTTAACTGCTTTTCAGCTATTAGAAACCTTTGGATTGACAAGTTTTACAGCACCAGGTGAGTTTCCTTCAACCCTTAGTGAAAGAATTTTTAAATACAAGTTGAATGACTTAAAAAAAATTTTTTTTTATGTTATGGAATAAGCAGCAAAAGGGTGATTAGAATCTTGATTTTGGAAAATTACAAATGGACTAAGGGTCCAAGTGGATTTGAAATAAGATTTTGGAATTAATCATAAGAATCCTTCCTGTGGGAAAATGCTTTTTGTTTTGAATTCTCTTAAAAAAAAAAAACATGATGAGATTTTGAAGGTTGGACATTAAAGGGAACCAGAAGGAACTAAAAATTACAATTAAAGGAGAAGAACACTTAAATTTGACTTACTAATATAGAATGGAGCAAAATATTTTACTGAAGGATATTTTTGAACAGTGGACCCAGAAGTTAATTTTAAGAGTGTCTGCCATTATAGGCTGTGTTGATACTATGAAAGAGGAACAAGTTTTACTGGACAAGACTGAGACTGATCTGAAAGTGGACTTGAAAAT